TCAGAAAGGATTTCTGTTACCGAGACAAAAACTATTCTTGAGGCATTTATGTTTTTCACAACCTCATTTAGTACAAAAATAGGACAATATCAAAATAAAATCAATAATTCTTATTCACCTCTATCGAATTAAAAAAGATTGCCTTACTATATTGAAGCAAGAGTAACTTTATATATTCTTGCGTTTAGAATAAATTTCGCCATCCATCTTACAATGCACGAAGTTGGCATCACGATATTCGACAAAAGACGATTCTAGATTTCAGATTTTTTCATTTAAAATATTCCTTTCTCGATAATAAATATGATTGGCGCTGTATCGATCCTATTTTATGATACATTCAAGTGTAAAAGCACTAAATCCGGAAATTTTTTCTGTGGGTGCGGCGACCGGGTTTGAAATTTCGCGTACTGATAGATGAAACTTACAACTACGGCGTACTTAAATTTAAATCTTTTCTACTCTCGGTCGGTTTATGCAGGAGCCACCTTGATACTAACAAATGCACGCGTCAGTGGGCGAGCACGTGTGTATATAATAGATCGCGCATTTCGTCAATGCGATAAAGAGAAATTAATGCGCCCATAAAATGCATCCACTCTGCGAGCGTGAGAGTAATAAAAAAATCCGGGTAATACGTTCCGGGACGAGAGATTTTCGCGAATGAAGCGGCGAGCGTCGAAATGGGCCACAAAGCGTTATTGACGAGAGGGAAAGTAATGGAAAATTGATCGGGCTTGATGACAGTCAGGTGCGAACATAAACGATCCCCGATCCCTGGCGCGGTTATTATTCGATTTGACTGTGTCGCAGATTAAAATGCGTGCGCCATCGCGATTAAGTGCCGCGTATATATATATATATATTTTTTTTTTAAAGCACACTCCCTCACCGTTTCCCTCGTATTCGCGCACTTCGACATTCGAGGATGCGCCCGAAATGTGCGATTATATTCCCAATGATGCCCCCCTTGTGACGCAGTAAAAAAAAATCAAACAATCGATGCGGTAGAGGTTTTATCGTGCTACGCAAACTTTTTAGATAACCGTTACTGCGCGCAAACATGCAACAAAAAATCTGTTGACACAAAGTGAACAAAAATCATGTTATATCGCGAGAACGAAGAAAATATTGATTTCACAGTGCAGTGGGAAGCGTTTCACGGTTTCCCCCTCCCCTCCCCCCACCCCTTGGAAAAAATGGCAAAATATTTGTCCGAAATTTCGAAATGGTATTTTGACGCGATCAACAAGGGCCATCGATTCTACTTTCGGCGCGGCCGTCTCCGATGAGAGATCGGTAAAAAAAACAATAACGTAAAATCGTCGCGTGCTCGATGCCAACACGCGCGCGGGTACAAGCGATCCTTTAACGTATTATTGTTTAATCCGACCGCGCTCGAAATCGAATTACGCCGTCCGGATGTATCGCGCGCGTGCCCGTGTCCCGTGCCGTTTCACAACGGGGGCGGAGGCCAAAAGCTGACCGACGCGATCGATGGGAGAAGCGAAAATCGACATTTGCGAATTGTCCGCTAATTGACCGCTCATTGGCATAGAAAATAATGTTTCGAATGAAAATGAGGCACGTCACGCGTGAAAACGCGCGCGGGAATTGTATTCGCCGAGAATTGTTCTAGCGTGGAAATCGCGCGTCGCCGGCGACAAAAATCTCGCCGAGAGATCGGGGCAATTTTTTAAATCGCCGAACAAGGAAATCGGGCATCTCGGGCGCTTTCGACGCGGTCGAGCGCCCTCGAGTCCTTTACTCAGCATCCTGCATTACCAGCCCTGTGGATTTAAACACCGCGTGCGGGGGAATCGCCCGGGTATCCGGACGCACCCGAGAAACCTTCTCGCATTTCAAATGGGATAACGCCGCGTCGCCGTGGCGCGTTTCACGCGTAATTCCCTTGAAAAGTTAAACCGGGACATATCCCGTGTGTGCATATTATATGCAGTGTACGGGTGCATCTGACACGCGAGATGCGCGCCGCCCGAGAACGTGTCTGCTACGCGCGGCAATGACAATCGCGGCGCGGCCCGACCGACCGGTTGACATTTTCGCATTTTCCGGCTCCTCGTGTCGTAATTAATTATCGGTTCGTCGCGACCAAAATAGACAGCCGCTCACTCGAGCGGAATTTCGCCCGCCGGCCGGCGTGTGACGGCCGGCGCGAATTCTGTCTTCGGCAGAAATTAGAAATCGACGACGTAATTTCCGCGCCGTCGACGTCAGCCCGCGCCGAGCCGTTCCGGAGAGCGAAACCTTGCCGCGTTTAAAACACTAACCGCGTTTTCCATCCGACCGCGCGAATAATCGTGAGATGTCCGAGATTAGGGAAGAGCGTTTAAATAAGACATAGACCGGTCCGTATTCATAGTCGATTCTTAAGCCAACGGTACACGATACTATTTTTCCTACCGGATTGCTTACGAGAGCCAATCAGAATTCAGCCTCAAGTTATCTGATCTAAAACTCTGCATCCTTATTGGCTCAGAGGATGCTGAAGTGATTCTGCACTTTTGGCACCTTTCGCTCCTAGAACTGTCAATTCGTGAAAACATTTGTTTAATATACAAATTATGTGGCTTTTGTGTACAGACCGACAGTGTCCCACTACTCAGATTAAGTGAAAGAACAACATGGTATCATTTAAATTAAGTTTAGGAGCTTAACTAAGTCTATTCACTATAGGTTACCTAACCTGTAACTTATTCGAGTGAATAGACTTCTTGTTAAGCTCCTAAACTTTATTTCAATGATACCATGCTGTTCTATCACTTAATCTGAATAGTGGGACACTGTCGGTCTGTACACAAAAGCCACATAATTTGTATATTAAACAAATGTTTTCACGAATTGACAGCTCTAGGAGCAAAAGGTGCCAAAAGTGCAGAATCACTCTAGCGCCCCCATAAGAGGCTAATACAGCTCTGTGATTGGTCAAACACGCATTAGGAGTACACTTAAGATGATCTTAAATATAAGAACGGACTATGATTACTGGCCTTGGACCCGGGAAATTTTCCGGAACCGGAATTGCGCCGATCGAGCGCGCGCGCCCGCTCATTCCGCGGCGGTGAAACACGATCGCCGTTTTTGCCCTCTCACATTCGACGTATATACCTCGTCTGTGTTTTACTATCACTGCAGCAGACTGCGCGGCCTGCGCGCGATATGATTTTACGAGGATTGTAAAACATCCGGAGGTATGCCTTACGATTGATACTCAAACGTCTGCAAAGATCGCACCTTTTACAGTATACTACCATCGATACCGCTCTCTCCCCATACTCATATTTCGCATTCCACAGACTACGCGATTGCGCCCGTCTTTTCGCTGCCTCGCGAAAGAGTCGATTTAATCGACACGGGCACCACGAAATTCCCGCACTGTACAGGGATCGCGGCCGGCACGATTTTTTTTCCCCCGCGTCGCGCTTTTGCGCGAGCCAGGCAGTTGAATCGCAGGAATCTCTCGCGCAGACTGTGGAAATATGCGACAGGGTGTATCGTACCGGCGTAATTAAGCCCGGACAATCGCTAATTAGCGTCTGGTTTATCGTGTCCGCGTTTCGGTTGAATCGCATGACATAATCGTTGCCGAGTAATACGGTAACGACAATGTCTGACGACCCAGTCCGCGCGCTTTTACCCGAAATTACGCCAGTACTTGCGGCCGTGTAACCGAGAGAAATTGTGCGGTAAATATTTGCACGTCATATACGCGGGAAACGGTGGCGCGCGTTGCGAGTTAATTGGCTACTAGGCCGTTCAATAATAATACGTTAACAGCGATGCATCACTCGCCACAGTATTAATATTGAAACCCGTTCAACACGACGGACCAGGTGTCTTCGATCCCGGTGCTCGACTAATAGTCGCGCGATTATCGAAGAAACTCGGAGTAAACGATCGAGTCTGGAGCTGAAAATCCTCCGAGCTCGGAACCACATATCGAGCATCCGTTTCCGAGCGTCTCGACCGAAATGGAGTCGGCGCTGAAAGATTAAGCGCGTCTCGCCGCACGTTTAAATTAAACGTCTCTCTCCGTTGCACGGCCCGATACTTTTGTATATAGAACGAATTTTACATATCCTTCTAACATACAGGATGATCACGAAGGGTTACGCGTGATTTCACGAATTAACGTCGGTCGTTCTCGATACAGCGCTATTCGCGCGTCGGGACCATGGAGTCTGTATAAGGAGACCGAACTAGGCTTGATTACGTCACCGAACACGGGCCGACATTATTGCACGTTAGTGAATCCAAATTTCGCCACTTGTAGCGTTGGCGTCGCAGAAACGGATTAAGGATTCGCCCAAGGGTTTACCGATCTTGATCTCTGATTACGGGAGTTTGATCTCCTCATACGGACTCCATGGTTGGAACCCATAGATATATATACTAGACTGCGCCATCCCTATGGACGCGCTGTCCTAAACATTAGAGCGCAGACATATCAAAAGATTTAGTCTCTCTCCCCCTCCCTCCCTCCCCCCCCCTCTCTCTCTCTCGCTCAGCGTTAAGAGTGGGGAGAAAACGAACAAGTTAGACACAAACACATTGACCCACCTCTGCTCTCCCTCTCTGTCTGTATCTTACGACCGACGCCTCCTACGGATGGCGCAGTCTAGTATATAAGTCTATGGTTGGAACGCGAAGCTCGTATTCTTTTTTCGTTTGCTCTCTTTCGAGTTGGCCTAGCGCGTCATGCGACATTCGTGTCATCCTGTAGCATAAGTTCTTCCAGCACCCGTTAGCACACGTTGGATCCATCGATCAACAGAAAGACACGATAAGACTCTACCCGCTCTCGTCCCACCCTCCCCCCCGCTCCAGCTCTCTCACAAGCAGCCCGCCCTCTCGGCAGGAAATTACATGCTTACAGTGTCTCTTACAGCGAACGACCTAATTACAAGTTTACCTTTTTTCTGTTTTCTGTTCGCTTCTTATGTTATGGACCGACCCTGGTTTCCGGTTTCTCTGTGCAGTCCTTCAAGGTAATTCGCCACCGCCTTTTTCTCTAAACTCTCTCTCTCTCTCTCTCTATTTCCGCCTACTGTCTCTCTTTCTACCGCTCTGAAACGTTCATTCGGATCGCTGTCACGTCGATGTGTCACCATAATTGTATAGAATAGCATTTCAAAGATTCGCATTGGCCTGCAGATCGAGTTGATCGCGATGAACGATATGTCGGCGCGTCAAAGATCTCTTCGGTGAGAAAGTCGACTTCTCGGCGTGCCGTGCGGAGAGAAGTACACCGGTATTTTTTAGAATGCGATATGTTAATTGAAACGACGCGGGTGAGGGTGAAACGGAACAATGCGATTTGCACTTGAAACCTTTATTCGTTACCTTGTGGTGACACGTACGTGCACACGTTACATACATCATCCACACGCTCACACACAGCTCATTCGCCCTACATTCTCGATCTCTCTTCCATTTTTCGCAGTATGTTCCGTTCTTATTTTCTGCTTTACTTCCGTCACCCTTTTCGTTGTCTGTCTCGATATTTCTCTCTATTTCTCTCTCCGTCTCCATTTCATGTCTTCTTGATTGTTTCGTTTCTTCATGTGCCTCTTCTCGTGCGCCCGCCACATCTTCTCGCTCATCGTCGTTATCCTCATTGCGTGCCGACGTCCGATCTCGTTCGCGCGAAACGTTCTCGGGATCGATGTAACGAAAGAGGTATCGACTCGCGACGTATAGGGAACGTTATGCGGAGTCTACAATGAGAGTTGCAGAGTCGCGGTCGTAAGAATAATTGACTGTAATGTGGGGTCTACAATGAGAGTCTCAGAGTCGCAGTCGTACGAATAGTCGACTATGATTGGTCAATTCTTATGTGTCTGACTGAATTGACCAATTACGGTCTATTAGTTTTACGACTGCGACCCTAAGACTCGCATTGTAA